AGAGGATTATATGATCACTTATCTTAAATGGCGTACCATCATCTTCCCAGTTCCGAGAAACTTTGAAAAGAGCTACGATGGAAATGAAGAGTCATGACAGATTAGGGTTTACATGGTGTAACCCTAGATGTGTCAACACTATATAAGAATCCTATTCTCCACCAAAATCGGCTACACAGATGAAACAAGAGGGCTAGTCTGATTTCAAGAAGTGTGTATTCTCTCAAAAGTCTTTCCAAGAGCATTTGGTGTTGTGTGAAGCATTTGAGGCATCACACTTGGGGTGCTAGGCTCACAAGGTTTCAAGGAACATAAGCAACAACAAGGTAAGTTATTATATCGATCATTCAAGTTAAAAATTGTTCCCCATGTATGCTAGATAGGAATATAGCCTTGGAATTCAACTTTGCATGATAATTAGACAAACATAGATCCAAGGTTATTAGGGTTGCATGTACACCAACGAAGTGTTAGAATGCTCAAAACCCTTCACATAGTTCCTTGCAAGATTGGAGATGTCACTTTTAGTAGTGCTATGCTTGATCTTGGTGCCTCTATCAAGGTCATGCCCTATTCGGTGTATGAATCATTGAATGTCGGAACCTTAAGTGAAACCGATGACATAATCTGTCTTGCAGATAAATCAAGTGTCTTTCCTAGAGGTGTTTTGGAATATGTCCTAGTGCAAGTGAACTAATTGGTCTTCCCGACGGATTTCTATGTGATTAATCTAGATGAACAAGTATCCTCAAAATCAGGTATAATCTTACTTGGGAGACCATTCTTGAAGACGGATAGAACAAAGATTGATGTGTATGCGGGAAGCTTAACAATGGAATTTGATGGTGAAACAATAAGATTTAACATTTATGATGCTATGAGATATCCTAGTGATGTTTCATCCTTGTGCTTTGTTGATGTTGTTGAACCATTAACCCAAGAGTTGTACGAGTTGTCTAATGGTGAGATGTTGTAGATGGTTTTAAGCAAAGGGTTTGATTGTGGAAAATTAGCCAATAAGTTGAAGCTCTAATCATTAGACCCCAAAGTTGATAGATTGGTCAACAATTTGGAGATCAAGAAGACCACCCAATTTAGTGTGAAGAAAATTGAGTTACCTCAAATTAACACAAGATTGCCACCCTCCCTTGTCCAACCGCCAAAATTAGAATTGAAGGTCCTTCCTCAACATTTGAAGTATGCGTACTTGGGAAACAACGAGACTCTTCCGGTCATCATTTCGACTCATCTAACCAAGTGTGAAGAAGAACAACTCCTCAAGGTGTTGAGGGAACATAAAGAATCAATGGGTTGGACAATTGCACATTTCAAAGGTTTGAGCCCCTCCACTTGTATGCACAAGATGTTAATGGAGGATGAATGCAAGCCAAGTAGAGACGCGCAAAGAAGGTTGAATCCGCCAATGATGGAAGTGGTCAAGAAAGAGATTTTGAAGCTCTTAGATGCGGGAATGATCTATCCAAACTCGGATAGCAAATGGGTGAGCCCGATTCAAGTCGTGCTGAAGAAGACGGGGATCACGGTCGTCGAGAACAACAAAGGTATGATGGTCCCCACCCGTGTGCAAAACGGGTGTAGAGTATGTATTGACTACCGCAAACTCAATGCCAACACATTAAAAGATCACTTCCAATTGCCTTTCATTGACCAAATGTTAGAGAGGTTGGCTGGGAAATCCCATTATTGTTGTCTAGACGGGTATTCCGGTTTTCATCAGATCCCGGTGGCACCGGAAGACCAAGCAAAGACAACATTTACATGTCTATTTGGCACTTTTTCATACCGGAGAATGCCTTTCGGATTATGCAACGCCCCAACCACTTTCCAACATTTTATGGTTAGTATCTTTTCGGAATATGTCGAAATATAATTGAAGTTTTTATGGATGATTTTCCCCTTTCAAGAGTATTTGACAAATCTCACCAAAATTTTAAAAAGATGTATTGAAACAAATTTGGTTTTAAACTTTGAAAAATGGCATTTTATGGTGAGTCAAGGTCTCATTTTGGGTCACATTGTATCAAATAAAGGAATGGAGGTAGATAAGGCCAGGATAGATGTTATTTAAAGCCTACCTTACCGACTAGCGTTCGGGAAGTTCGTTCTTTTTGGACCATGCAGGTTTCTACCGGAGATTCATCAAATATTTTTCAAAGATAACAAGACCAATGTGCCAAGTCTTGCAAAAGTATGTTGATTTTGAGTTCAATGAGGCGTACAAATAAGCTTTCGATAAGATCAAAGACTTGCTTACATCCGCTCCCATCATGCAAGCTCCAAATTGGGATCTTCCCTTTGAGATCATGTGTGATGCAAGCAACTATGCAATAGGCTCCGTTTTGGTTCAAAAGAACAGACGAGCCTCCCATGTGATCTACTATTTCCGATCACCTGAGTCGTATCACTTCAAATGAAACTCCTCTCCTTTTGAGGACGAGATTCCGGATGAGTATCTCTTTTCCCTTACTCAATCTATTCCTTGGTATGCCGATATCGTTAACTTTTTAGTCACAAAAAGGTATCCCGACACATCCACACATTCTAAAAAGATAGGTATTCTAATCAAATGATCAGGCGATGTGTACCCCAACAAGAGCACAAATCCATTTTGCAAATTTGTCATGAATTTGCTTGTGGGGGACACTTCGGACCTAGCCATACCCTGAGAAAGGTCCTTGAGTGTAGACTATTTTGGCCAGCCATGTCACACGATTGCTACTAGTTTTGTAAAAGTTGTGAACGGTGCCAAAGGACGGGGAACATTTCACAAAAAAATCAAATGCCAAAAAATCCAATCCTTGTTTGTGAAAATTTTGACGTATAGGAGATTGATTTCATGGGCCCATTCCCCGTTCCATTTGGCAACGTTTACATCTTACTCGAGGTTGACTATGTTTCTAAGTGGGTTGAAGCCTAAGCCACAACATCGGATGATGCCAAAATAGTTATCGACTTTTTAAAATCTAATGTCTTTGTGAGGTTTGGTGTGCCTAGGGTTTTGATTAGTGATAGGGGGACACACTTTTGCAAAAAGATGATGAAGGCTTTATTGAAGAAGTACAACGTGACCCACCGTGTTTCAACAGCCTACCACCCTCAAACGAATGGTCAATCGGAAGTTTCAAATCGTGAAGTGAAGAGTATACTTGAGAAAACAGTGAATCCCTCAAGAAAAGACTGGAGTTCAAGGCTTGATGATGCCTTGTGGGCCTATCAGACCACGTACAAGACCCAATAGGAATGTCCCCATTGAGGTTGGTTTTTGGAAAGCCATGTCATCTTCCCATGGAATTGGAACACCGTGCATTTTGGGCAGTGAAACAATGCAACTACAACATCGATGATGCGGGAAGGCATAGGAAGCTTCAACTTCAACTGTTGGAGGAGTTGAGAAATGACTCCTATGAAAACTCAAGAATTTACAAGGAGAGGACAAAGATTTTCCATGACGAGTCCATTAACCGCAAGCATTTCGAACCAAGACATAGGGTTTTGCTTTACCATTCACGATTGAAGTTATTCATGGAAAGTTGAGGTCAAGATGGATAGGTCCGTTTGTTGTGTTAAAAGTCTTTGAGCATGGAGCGGTTGATATTCAAAGTGAAGAAACGGGACAAATCTTTAAAGTTAGTGGGCATCGTTTGAAACCTTTCTATGAAGGTTTTAATGCAAATGTCCTAAATGTCATCCAATTGGATTCCCCAGTGTATTGAAATCAAAAGGGAAGCACGTCTCGCCAAAGACGTTAAACAGGGGTATTTTTGGAAAACTAAAAGTTTTCATCTTTTCTAGTTCCGAATAAATGTCATAGATGGACCATTTTTGCATTTAACATCTCTTCTTCTTCCTTCTTGTGGTACAAGAATGTTGGATTTGAAGACCCAGTGTGCGTATTGGTCAAAGAGCAAAAAAATGGAGAAAAATGCAACTGAATTCACGTGGGCCGCGTGTACTCCAGAACCTATCTGTGTTAATAAACAAATGGTCCCCGTGTGGTATCCTCACGTGTCTGCATCCATCATCAGCAAACAGAAGAGTTTCAGGTTAATACACGCAGACCATGTGTACTCCAAGGTATGTTTGCATGTTTATTAAAATAGACCGTGTGTGGTCTCCAACTTGGCCGCTTCCATCATCGGCTAACAGAAGTTCTTTAGGGTAATACACGCGGACTGTGTGTACTCATGTTCGTGTCCGCGTGAGTTGTTGACTAACGCTTACTCGTTTTTTACTAGGTTTGACCAAGTTTTTTTAACTAATAAGATACCATCCAACCCTTTCTTCCCTTCTTCTTCTCCATTCTTCTCCTATAACCTCCATTAGAACACCTCCTTCTCCTCCACTAAAACTCAGTTTTCCGTCAAATTACCGGTCGGAATTCCGCGAGGCCACCACCATTTTTCACTAATTTCCCAGCTATACAAACCCCACTAAAAAACTTTTCCGATCTGTTGCTGTAACTCCGGGAGCCACCACCACTCAACCGCCACTTTCCGGCTGTTTTCCGGCCAACTCCGACCACCTCTCGCGATTCTGACACCACCATTGTGCTCCGCTTGGACAAGGCGACAAACCCCACCAAAAATATCTCTCAAAGCTCGTCGAAAAATTTCACTGCAATTTCATGCCATTGCCGGATTCCTTGGATTTTCGCAATAAAGTTCTTCTCACGGGATATTGAACAAAGCTTAAAGCTTACGGTGGAGAGTTGCAAGATTTTCAAATCCCAAATTTTCACGCGTAAATTTTGAACTTTAAAGAAAAACGGGTACTTTCTTTCCTTTATTTTAATTGATCAATATGCATGTCTCTAAACAACAATTCATATGCTATTGCATCAAATGATTTTATGAATTATTTCTTGCTTTGATTGTTGAACTGCTTTAGAAGTCCATAGGGAGTTGGTTGGTGATTTGGATTGAAATATCGTTTGTTGAGATTGTGGTTCATGTAGTGGTTATTTTTCGTGCAGGTAGTCCATGTCCACATCTAGGAAGCACCCGACTACCGCCCGAGGCAAGGCCCCGGCTAGAAATCAAAATGATGCTCCCGACATTCCAAGATATCGGGATGCCAAGGCAGCCGAAAACTACACGAAAATCCTACCTAGAAAGGTTGCATCCACCAAGTTCGTTTGCAGATCCACACTCACTTCGTTAGAGGTTCTTGAGGGGGTCACCCAATTGTTTCGTAAATTTGGGTGGGAAAACCTTCTCAACCTCATGGCGCACACTAACGAGCTCGCCACTAGAGAGTTTCTTGCCGATTGCGGGTACGATAGTGAAAAAAGAAAAGGCGCATTCCAACTTCTAGGGGACTGAAGGTACATTGATTTTGCAACAATAAACGATATCTTGGGCTTGCCTTCTTCAAACACCTCCACGGTTTTCGACGTCTTACCTACTGAGTTCAATGATGAGACGTTTTCAACGAAAATAATCAGGGGTATCTTTTCGTGTGCCGGTCAGGATAAAGCAACCTTCATCATTCACCCGTGCCTCTGTATTGACCATCGCATCTTGTTGTGTATGGTTTTTGCCCGCAAAGAAGCCAGCCAGGTCACCAAAAATGAGGTCTTCTTTCTTTGGTGTATGACGGGGCGTGACTGCCCGCTAATCCCAGACTTTGCTTTCTTATTTTTCCATAAATGTGCACACATGAGAAGCAAAGCGTCCAGTGATATTTGCATTGGGGGATTGGTCACCCTTTTGGCTCGCGGACTTGACATTGAGCTCCCAGACGAATACCAACCTGTTGACAATAAAAATATTTTGGATGAGCGTGCCCTGACAAACATGCACCACATCTGCCGCTGGAGCAGGAACAATTTCACTTTGTATTATCCTCAAGGAGTAGCATATCTTGTTCTCCCCGGCTGTAACATCCCGAAATCGCAAGAGTAGAGTTGAAGGGCTAAAAGTGTAAGTTTCGGAGGGCGACTCGGCGAGTCCATGGATAGACTCGGCGAGTCAGGTCGCGACTTTGGTCGCGTATCAAGTGGCCTACTCGGCGAGTCCAAAGATGGACTCAGCGAGTAGGTGCTGTGTGGAGAAAACCCTAATTTTCGGGGTTGAGCCCTATATAAAGATCATTATGCCCCTCCACAGCCTCCTCTATCCCCCCCCCCTTGAGTCCTAGAAACCCTAATTTCGTTGAGAGCCCCATTGTTGAGCAAATTAGAGCTTGGAGAGGTGTTGGTTGAAGAAATCTTGAAGGAGAAGTGGCTTGGATCAAAGGGATTTGCTTGGATTCGAGTTTCATTGCTGTTAAGGCATCCTTTGGAGGTAATACTTTTGTTCTTGGGCTGTGTTTTCCTAGTTTCTCATTTTGGGGTTGTGTGGGGAGCTTAGTTGTGTGGCATCGTGATGATTGGAGGATGGATCTGAGGTTGCTACCTCAGATCTGGTGTGGAGAAGATCTTAAGAGCATTAAAGCCCCTGTTCTTGTGTTGTTAATGGAGCTATCATGTCCCAAACCTTGGTTCTAAGGCGAATAAGGCCTAGATCTCTTTAGATTCACATAAAGTTTGCCACTTTACGTGATGGATGGATTGTAGGAGGTTGGATCTATGTTTTGGATCAAGTGCATGGCCTGGAGTGCTTCTGAATTGATTCAGATCGGGTTGACTCAGCGAGTCACATGGGTGGACTCAACGAGTTGCTTGAAGATGGCCTGAAACTCGGCGAGTTGGAAGAACAACTCGGCGAGTAGGTTGAAGATAGCCTTGGACTCGACGAGTATGTTCTTGGACTCGGCGAGTCTTGTCGAAGAGTCCCAATATTTCCTGGTTGAGTCGAGAATCGGTGAGTCAAGGGATGACTCGGTGAGTTGGGTGCGAGTGGACTCAGAGTTGTTGGACTCGGCGAGTCTTGGGGTGACTCGGCGAGTTGGGTCGCGGATTGAGGGAAGTTCTGAGCTTGGGGACTCGGCGAGTCATTGGGATGACTCGGCGAGTAGAGTCAATCAAGGGTTGACCAGTTCTCTTCCAGAGGTATTTTGGTAAATAATGGTATATCTGTATATATATATATATATATATATATATATATATATATATATATATACACATATATATTGAGTTGAATATTTTGATGTTCAGTGAAGGAGTTCGTGTCAGAGTTCGGAGCAGCGGGATCTTATTCTTTCAGCCAGCAGTTTCGAGGTGAGTTATCCTCACTATATCAACAGGGTCTAAGGCACGAAGGCCGGCCCTTATCGGATTGAGATCCGGGTAGTTGTTATTATTTTGTTGTTGTGATATGCTTGCATCCTGAGAGTTAGGACGGTATATGTTAGAGACCTGATTAAGATCAGTATCCTGAGAGATAGGGAGAAGCTATGCTAATGACTTGTTAGGTCGGTATCCTGCTTAGAGTATGTTATGCTATGTGATCTGCTAGATCGGCTTGTTTGAATGTGAACTGTTATATGATTAAATGTTTATGTGTACATGGTTGTTTGGACTGGATATGGGTTGAGGCGGTCCTGCTTTGTGCTGTAGGCCAAGATACTCAGGGCGGACCGGTTGTTCCGAAGGCTCAGCGAGCGGTCCGGATATGCTGTAGGCCCCACGCGGGCGGACCAGACGTGCCGAGGCTCAGAGAGTGGACCAGGCCGACTGAAGGCCCGATGCGGGCGGAACAGTCATACTGTAGACTCAGAGAGTGGACCAGGTGAGTTGAAGGCCCAGTGCGGGCGGACCAACCACACTGTAGACTCGAAGGACATGACTAGACTCGGAGGATGGATCCGGTGGACTGAAGGCCGATACGGCGGACCAGTCACACAGTAGACCCGATATGCATGGCTGTTCTATGTTCTGTTATGTTATGTATGTTTTATATGTTATGGGCCGAAAGGCAATATGTTTTGGACCGGAAGGTCATAGCCTGGAAGGGCGTATGTGTGGTTGGTATTTTGGGGGTATCTCACTAAGCTTTCGGGCTTACAGTTGTGGTTTAATGTTTTTCAGGTTCTTCAGGAGACTGTGGCAAGGCGAAGGCGCGATCGTACTGATCGTCATGATTTTGTAGCAATGTGATTCTGGGAATACTCTAAATGATTTGTATTGAAAACCTTTTGTAAACAATTTAATGAAATCGGGTTGTTTTTGAAAAATTTAAATTGGTTGTATTTTTCGGTCGTTACAAGTTGGTATCAGAGCCTTGGTTTGAGTGAATTGGAGGAACACTTGTGTGACTCCAGTCTCAAATCAAGGAAGGTTTTCAAAAGAGAATTTAAAATGGTTTTCAAAAATAAGTAAAGAAGGACGCGGAGGTACGATCAGCCGGAGCCAGTAAGTAACGCCAAAATACCATACATGACAATTGTTTTATTGAGCTTTGATAGAACAGCATGCTAAAGTTAGGCTAGGGATCTTCAGGATTTCTTGATGAGTTGCCTGATTTATGATGCCTGCTAGCCTAGGGTTCCTTGCGAGAGATTTCTAGTGTTCCTCTAGTTGTGAGGATAGAGCATTGTTATGTATGTCGCTAGGGTGTTGTGGAAGTACTTCATACAAATATGGGTAGGTGTGGAAGGTAGTATGGGCCCGTACTACCGAAAGCACAGACCCATACGCGTATCAGGGAAACCATGACCTCTAGGGTTGGGATGAGAGCTGGTTCCCGAGTTAGGGGAAAATGTCTGAGATTTTGGTGTTTTATTTTCAGTATGGAGATTTCAGGGCACGCTGGGAGTGGATCCAGGTCAGGATTAGGAGCAGGTGAGGGAGTTTCGGGTGGGTCTGTACAACTCGAGGTTGTCAGTTGGATGAGTATGCACGAGTTGGATGCGAGGATTCGTGAGATCCTGCATGATGAGGTTGCTGCATTGTTTCGGGCTGAGCTGCCGGAGTTGTTTCGGTCGATCAAGACCGCCATGGTGGAGTATTTTGATGAGCGCTATGCGGCTCTCACGGAGACGGCTGCCGCGGCGGCTACAGCAGCTGTAGCAGCGGCAGGGGGAGGAGCTAGTAGAGATTTTCAGTATCGGGACTTCGATAATACAAAGCCTCCCACTTTTGATGGAGTTCAGGATCCGATCGTTGCTATGAGATGGTTATCAGATGTGGAGGGATGTTTCTTCACGTGTTCATGCCCTGCTGATCAGAGGGTGAGGTGCGCTCTGAACCTGTTAAGGCTCGGGGAAAAGGATTGGTGGAGATTGACCACGGGGTCGTACTCGGATGCGCAGAGGGCTGCGATTTCATGGGATCAGTTCAGAGAGATGTTCAACACTCGTTATGTTCCGCAGGTCGAGAGGGAGAGGTTGGCTTAGGAGTTCTTGGAGCTGAAAAAGGATTCAGAGTCGGTGACGGAAATCACCAGGATGTTTACTGAGAGGGCGATGTTTTGCCCTGAGTTCACTTCGGAGCAGGCTCAGAAGTCCCGATATCTGAGTATGCTAAAGAGAGACATTAGGCAGTTTGTGTCTGTGCAGAGGTGTAAGACCTTGCTGGAGTTACAGGAGGCCGCCAGGCGGCGTGAGTTAGAGATTGAGTTGTAGATGCGTGAGCTGAGGCAAGCTTCGGTTCAGTCGCAGCCGACGACGAAACGGTCTAAGACCGTTGATTCCAGGATGGGAGATCAGGGTATCCATGTCTGTGGAGAGTGTGGAAGGGGTCACGCCAGAGTTTGTCGGTCCGGTGGAGCATGCCGCAAGTGCGGAAAGGAGGGACACTATGCGAGGGATTGTCGGCAGTCAGTGCCGGTTCGGGATTTGAGGATATGCTATTGTTGTCATCAGGTTGGACATTTAAAGGTCAACTGTCCACAGCTTGCTGCAGGATCGGTGCAGGCTCCAACACCGGCTACGTTGAGGATCACAGGTGGAGGTCCGGGTGGAGCGGAGCCCCCAAGGGCTTAGGGTCGTGTTTTTCAACTTGCTGCTGCGGGTATGTTTCTTTCTGTTGTTTTTTATTATTATGATTATTGTGGAGTTTTGTTATCTGCTAGTTTCGTTGGTTGGTGATGGAATTGCGTTTCGGGTTTTCGTGTGGTATCCGTTGTTCCTTGAGGGTTTGGCGAGTTGTGATCGAGATTTCGTTTTGGTATCCTTTGTTCCCTGAAGGATCGATATGGTTATGGATTAGTACTTTGAGCTATTGTGGATTATCTCTGTGAGGATTAGTGGTGGATTCGACGTTGGTTTGAATGTCAGGTAGCCTCTGCAGTCTGAGGGATGGATATTTGAAGATTGGGTTCCTTTCGAGCGGGTTGTTCAGTGTGGAAACATGATTTTTATGAAAGTTGTTAGCGCTGGTGAGAAACATTTTGTGTGTAAGTGTTGATTTTCTGCAAGGTTGCTTTGGGAGATTGGTGATGGCGACTGATGATTAATTGTCAGTGTCTTATGTGGGGGAGAATTGGAAATTCTCCGGATGATGGTTGGGCTTAAGAGGTTTTTTAGCTGGTTGGGGAATTCAGCGGTATTTCTATCAGCCGAGAGCAGGCTCGTATGGGTGAGTAACAGGCGTGCAGGGCGGAATACAGACCTAGAGCATTTGATTGCGGAAGGCATGGGAGCAGGCCGGGATCGAGTATGTATGATGGAGATAGAGTTCGGAACCCCTAGAGGGCTAGAACGGTATGCACGGGAGGATTTCCCGAAGGGATAGTTCGGAATGATGAATGCTAGTTGAGCGGTCCGGATAGACTGAAGGCCGGTAGGCGTACCAGTCAGGCCGAAGGCTCGAAGGATGGTCCAGTCAGATTGGCTGAAGGTTCTGAGAGTGGTCCAGATTGGCTGAAGACTTGGGGAGGCGGTCCAGTCATGATTTTGTAGCAATGTGATTCTGGGAATACTCTAAATGATTTGTATTGAAAACCTTTTGTAAACAATTTAATGAAATCGGGTTGTTTTTGAAAAATTTAAATTGGTTGTATTTTTCGGTCATTACAAG